GGAGAAGAAAATTCAATATTCGAGAACGAAATATAAAGGAAATAGAAAGGAAATAAAAAAATAAAATATATTCAAGAACGAAATATAATATGAAAGAAGAAAAAGTATTCATTTTGAGAAATCAGAAATCTAGATGTTAATCCTAAATAAAATCGAATTTTAGATGGAAGAATGATTGAGTGTCCAGTTGAATCCCATAATAAGTATTTTTATGATAATACTTAAGAAAATAGTTCTTAATTTTAAGACTTTGTAATTAATTGAATAAAGAAACATAAAATATTATAAAATAACTAGTTAAAATATTCTTTGAATCTAATCAATTACTAAATCAATCATTATTTGATTAAGAATATAAAGAAATTAAATACTGGAATGATTTATGTGAAATCTCATTTGATAAAAAATTATCATTAATTAGAAATTGATTATTTTTAAAATAAATATTCATTAAATTCAAATTAAGAAGAAAGTAATAAGAGAGCTAAAAAATTTTATATTTTAAAAAATTAATTGTTAAATTTAGATTAATTTAAAAATATAAAAAGGACTGATAGCCCCTTATCGTTATTAATAAGAAGAATAATATTGTTTATTTCTTTAATTTGGAATAAGTTTACCATTAGTATTACTAATTATTTATTAATCATCTCAATTTTTGATTAAGATAGGTTAGAAAATTTAGTAATCCCCCTTTCATCGATATTTATGTTTTAAGATATTTAAATGAATTTACATACAATATCAATTGTTTTGTTTGGGAATCGTAATATTTTTTTTTTTAAACTCAAATTTACAAAGGATTTGTGAAAGAATTGATTAGAAAAATGAATTAATTCAATAATAAAGAATATTAAGAGTGCGTGTTATTGGTTAAATAGTTACTAAATGAAAGTTATTTTAACTGAAATTGAAGTTGTATTGTATTTTGTTGTATTGAATTAATATAATTTTAATATTAATGTGTAATGTAAAGAGAAGAACCTGAAATGAATGATAAACCGGTTTCAATAATTTTCGAATCAAGATGACGATATGTATTCTTTATTATTCAAAATTGAAATAACTGAATCTGCTTATAATTGTTTGTCATGATATCTTAAGTAAATATAAATTCTCAATCTACAATCATTAGTTCCTTAAATTTGGAAAATGTCAGTGTCTTTCCAAACTGTGCTATATGAGCTAATAAATAAATATTTGAATTCTTATATTTTAATTCTTTTGCGATTAATCATTTCTTCTATAATGTATAATCTTTTAGGAAATATCGTATCATCTCCTGTCATCCGTATAATATATTGATTTAATTCATGTATTCTATTAACAAATTCAGTTGCTATTTTGACATACACATTTAAATCTTCTATTTTTATCTTCCTCTTCTTAAATTAAATGAGTCAATTCTTTACTATCTTAATGTCCACAACATTTTAAGAAAACATTAATTTTAAATATGTAGACCTCTGTTCTGTGTATTCTAAAACAATTTTGGAACACATTTCTCCTTCTCGCCAAATTCTTTGTCTTAATCAGCTAAAATTATTATTATTAGCAACAACATCCTTAATATCTTGCAGAATCAATCTAACAGCTTTCTCTTAATTATACCCAAAATCTGGCACAACACTTAATGCAATAACAGTGGCACCTGAAATTTATTGAGCTTCAAATCATTATTAGCATATTATTTCCCAACCATAACATTCTGGCATCTCTTTAGTTAATATAAAATTTACATTTTGAATTGTTCTTAATTTCAAATTAAGTAATTTGATCAAGGTTGATTTTACAGTCAATTTTTAGAATCAAAGAAAAAATTTTTTTTCCAATATTTTTATTATTAGCTTGCTAGATAATTTCCAGAATCACTTTATTGAGGTAATGATTAATAAATTTTGGAATAAGTTATAAAATAAAGTATTATACATTTTAGTATCGAAGAGATTCTTTGCTAATTTGAGTTTGTTAACATCAAAAAACAGAACTTAAGATTATTCATAAAAATATGATTTAATATTTTCAATACCCAAATTACATAACCCATTTTCATTGTCTTTAACAATTACTGCAAATAATTGGATAGGAGAATTAAGGATAGGCATCAATTAACAGGTAAAACATGAATTGTAGGATGAATATGTTAAAATGGTTGAATCATGTGTGGTAATATCATCCTATTGAAAAATACTAAAATTATAATGAGCTTAATAAATCAAGTTTGTAACAAATTATGTAGATGCTATATTCCAATAAAATGATAGTATTAACTAATGTTGCAATTCTATATGAGATAATAATTAATAATTTTTACAGTTTTTTTCTTTTGAAGGCAAAGTAATATATTTAGGAATTAAATCTAAATGATGGCATTTCCGAACTTTTAGAAATCCAAATAAATATTACCTAATATTAATAAATCTAGAATGTTATTTCAAGATAGGACTTTAGAATTTCACTATAATTAGATTCGGTTATTAAACAAAAAACAAAAGGAATAAACTAAATAGTTAATAATAATTTTACTAAACTTTTAAAAATTTGAATTGGCATCAATTTTTTGCATTTGTTGTTCTCCAAGATGATTTTATGATTTAAAGTGTTAATCAAATGAAAAATTAAATTCAAAAATAGAAAAGTTTGGTTTCTATTTTAGATATATAGTTAAGGAAAGGCTGCTCCCAATATATCCATTAAAGTCATTTAAGTTTCACTCATTTGAAAGATTGTAAATGTAAAGCTTTTAAAGAATATGCATTTAATACTCTTATAAGACCATAAATTTCTAAGTTAATATTGTAATTACTAAAGTGTAGACTCCTTATTTTAACATAGTGCGAAGACATCGAATACTAGTTGACATTATAGATGTAAAAGGAGCAGCTATGAAAGCATTACCAAATTTGTAAATGGTCCCATATCGAACTATCCTGCTGGTTATTAGCGCTTAAGATAATTAGCAATATTCTTCTTTTTTTCTTTATCTCTTTTAGCCTCATTTATTTTCTTTCAAAGTTCTTCCTACTAGTATTTAACTTATTTTAATTATTTAGTAAATGACAAATGAATAATTCTCTCTTCCTCTTCCTCTTCTTCATCTTCTTTGGTTCTTCTACTTTTTTCAAAGCATCCACCTCCATCATTTGTCCCATCTCAACACATTAAAACTCCTTTACATTATTTCTTAAATTATATAATAAAACTTTCATTCTTTTTAGGTGACATTCTTTCAAAAATATGAATGATTAATTTGAATTTTCTAGTTTCTCCATAATTTCCTTTTCTAAATTATTTAAAACCTAAGTATTTTTAGTATAATGTTCTGCTAATACATAATTATTATTTTAATAATCTAAAACATAAGTCTTTTTATTACAGTTTTTAAAGAAACTTTTATTATTCTAAAATATTTTATAATTTAATTATACAATAACTACATTTTTAACTTAATCATGCAATGATAATTATTTACCAACTGCAATAGCAGTAAGTAAATTTACTCCTGTAATTATAACTAGATCGAATTTTTTTATTCATTATTATTAGGATCAGCCTCCAAAGGGATTCACAAATTAGCAATCCACGAAACACTAAATTCTTTTCTGATTCTTCTACTTCTTGAATCTCAGATTCCTGAATTTCTCTATCAGCTAAACAGAGTACCATATATCCGAAATTTGAATAATGTTAATAATATTCATCTTCAAATGGCACCTCTGAAAATAATTATCATTAGCACTTTTTACTAATAATCTATAATGTCTTTATCCTTTTAATCAACTTAGATAACAGTACATATTTTTTTAATTACCCTTGAATAAAAACACTTCTTAATATATAAATGTTTAGGAATCAAATTTTACCAACTGTTAATTATTATTTTTTTTAGAAAACTATATCTTTTTCAACATGATAAAGTCTTGTATATATTACTCTCTGTGGTTCTTATTGTTTAAACTTATTCTCAAAGATATTTAAGTTCTGATTCTCTATTCTTCCACTTCTCCATAATAAAATAGCCCAACATAAGAGAAATGAACAAAGCATAAGAAAGTAAAATTGAGGCGCTTTGAATATTTTTTAATATTTTACTCTATTTGATTAGCTATCGATTAATATAATTAAATTATTGATCCTATCAAAGCATATATAATTAATTTTCAACTATTTAAATATCAAAAGATATATATTGTTGTTTCTTCCACTATTAATATACTTAATGAGATTTCTTAATATCTTCTGATGAAAAATGGGAAACTACTTAACCTTCTTAACAAAACTTATCTTCATCGAACTCTTCATATAAGACCTTCATGATTAATTGTTAAATTTGTAATGGTTTAGAAAATTTTTAATGCCCTTAGTCATCATATTAAAATTTTATCAAAT